GAGCAAGTATAAGGCTGGTCGTAATGGGAGTATTATAGGTAGTATCATGCATGCCAACTAAGCGATTTTGATGAGGTGGCATAGAATTAAATGAAGAGAGAGAGGCTTGAGTATCATATCATGATATTGTATCATATTAAATGATGTGCTACTTTGTGTCATGCATGACAATAAATGTAGTTCTATATGATACCAACATATGATACCATGCATTACGGACATAGTATCATACACTAGTATCATATGCATGATACTAGTATATGATACTCCCATTACAACCAGCCTAATAGGATGACATAAGGGCATCTCCAACAGTTTGTATGTTAACTTGTTGGTAAAATATGCCATGTCATCAACCAACACCTTAACATACAACAACTCCAATGGGTTGTATCTAGTTTGCCCAATAAGATATGAGATAATAAATAAGGTGCTCTCTCATTCTACATTGAAGCTTGTGCAAGAGGTGTTGGTTCATGTACATACAACCTTTCTCTCTTTCCTCATTTATTGTATGACACATCATCAAAAATCCTATGTGGCAAAATTTATCAACAACTATCTTACAACCATTGGAGATGCCCTAAGCGGGCTATAAGTTATGATGATGTGGAACAGAGAGGGAAGAAGAGAGAAGAGGGGTGGGTCATAAACTTGTAGGCAGCTGCAGCACAAGCTCCAACGCACTTTGTGAGAGAAGAAAGTGGGGTCAAGCATTAATTACATAGTGTATAGAGCCAACAACTATTATATGAATGGGCTTTTAGGTTGGCTATAAGTAATGTGGCATAAAGATCGAGCTAGCAGCCGACTATATTATTATACCAGAAAAAATAAAGATCATAAAATTAATAAGAAACACCTAAGCGCATAGGCTTGCAACGGCAGCCGCTCGTTGTGTTTACTAAATTAAACTACCGGGGTGCTTCGAACGGGCACGAAAACACGCAAGAGCCCGATGCATGCTCTTGCGTCGATGCCTAACATAGCACCGGGATTCAACAAATTAACCGCTAATTCGCCGGGAATCTGACCCTGGACGTGCCCTAAAGATAGTGAATAACATAATATCATAAAAAGACACGACTAACAAAGAATCTATGAACTCAAAGTTACACCATAGCATTCTCAAGTCACTAGGCTAGTATGATTTTCAATGCAACTTTGTTTTTTACCGGCCGTTCTGCAGCCAGTTGTCTTTCCATTGTTTCGCATGTTTTCCTTATAATTATCAGATTTATAAGATGCCCTTTCAGTGTGTCACCATCTCTGACTCTATCGGTGGCATCTCAATAGTCTTAAATTTGCCCGATACATAATAAATCATGCATAAGGTTCACTAACCTCGAAGGATTTGAATAGATGCATTAGCCGTCGGCCATAGAAACTTAGACTTTTGAATATGTTGTGTCACGTTCAAGTACACGTCCTACTCCCACAAGGCAAGTTGTCACACCGTTGCTTCACCGACATACCACCGTAAGACAATATCATGGTCAAGAGAAGAAGCATCAGAAAACAAAATGGCAGTGCCCCCCTCCCACTCACGTGCAAACATCGGTGTGAAGATCCTAGTGGCGAGAGGTGGGGGCATTCTACTCCACACAACGTTGCATCCACCATTTAGACACCGCGACCAAAGACACATGAGTAACATACAAAAACTAATCTGTACGTGAAGCAACCATATGAGTTGGTTCCACCCCACCTCCCAGGGGCAAGAAGGCCGCCTAAGATAAGGGTAACTGATGTATGTAAATGGTGGTGGGAGATGTTGGTGGCTAGTTCTTTTACTATTATTTTGCACTAGAATTATTTGGTTATATAGTTCTCATTTCTTTACCTAAGAAAATGATCGGACTTTGTTGGTTAACTAAGAGAGTACATCAGATCAAAGACAGCAAAATACAAGCGGCCAACAAATTTTTGTTATCAAACAAAAAGTTACATTAAAGACATTTAAAGTGGTCATCTCTAACTCCACCTTTTGCGATTAATGTCCCTCCAAACCTCCGGCGGAAAGACAATGGAGACAAATATGCACAAGCAGGACTAGCCTCGAATGCTTCAAATAGCGGCTTGATTCGCTCATCCTAATAGGTGAGAACCTTAGATTGTTGGACCCGCTATGGCTGGGGACAAAACCTTTGCTAGGCATGTGGTCTGTGGTGGGAGACACGCCCCTTACAAGGCAGGTTTTCGAACCGTCGATCGATCACTATACCACTTGGGAAGAAGTTTGCGAGGATAAAACAACAAAAATATGAGAACCATTGACAGAACAAAACTTCACATCACGGACAATACTGCCATCGCCAATACATGTTGAATCGTCAAACGAGAAATGATTAGATCTATGCTTATCGATCTGTGGATCCAACACATCACCGACTTTCCAATATTGATTGTGTTGACCATGATATTCACAACCAGATGGGATTAGCATCACGAGACTTTTATTCTAGGGACAATTGCATTTTTGCCCCTAGTTGGAACCTACCCACGGGTCTTGCCCTTACTTTTCGACTCTGCTCAGTTTTGCCCTTAGATTTGCCCCCAAGGTCACCTGAATGCCCTTTGACCGTTTGACCAATACTTTGAAAATTCATAACAAATTCATATGAACTCGAAAAAATTCAAATAAGATATCAAAATGTTCAGACGAACATTACCTTTATGTGCATATCATTTGCATTAAGGACAAAAGTATCATTTGAACTAGCCAAGGTTATTAATGTTATTAACATTATTAAAAATAAAAAGGTATAAAAATTATTTTTTCAAGAATAAAAATTACATGCAAATGCAGGTGAAGTTTTCTAAACATCTTGATATCTTTTTTTGCATTTTTCTGAGTTCATATCAACTTGTTATGAATGTTCAAACAACTTTGACCATTATTTGGAAACTTCATAACAAGTTGATATGAACTCAGAAAAATGCAAATAAGATATCATGATGTTCAGAAAATGTCACCTACATTTGCATGTAATTTTTATTCCTGAAAAAAGTATTGTTTATACCTTTTTATTTTTAATAATGTTAAAAACATTAATAACCCTAGGTAGTTTAAACGGTACTTTTGTCCTGAATGCAAATGACATAGACATAAAGGTAATGTTTATCTGAACATTTTGATATCTTATTTACATTTTTCTGAGTTCACATCAATTTGTTATGAATTTTTAAAGTATTGGTCAAACGGTCAAAGGGCATTCGGGTGACCTCGGAGGAAAATCTAAGGGCAAAACTGAGCAGAGTCGAAAAGTAAGGATAAAACCCGTGGGTAGGTTCCAACTAGGGGCAAAAATGCATTTGTCCCTTTATTCTACATGACGACGTCTCCAGCTTTATAACACTGGTACTAATAACATATTGATCTAACATGGAGGAATAAATATAACATACTCTAGACGTAGATTTAGGGTTCCATGTTCTAAGACATAACTATATTGTAAACGAAGAGAACCAACACAAAGAGAGTAAAGGTGGCCTTTCTGAGAAAAGACTCCGAAAGGACATCGCATATTTATCAATGAAAACAGTAGACAATAAGCCGAAGGACAACAAGACACAAAAGTAAAAAAACAAATAACATCAAAATCATATTGATCGTATTCTTCCTTCGATTGTTTATCATCCGCCGGAGCTTGAAAAATTCAGCGAACAAGCAGGAAGATATAGAGCCACCTGCAAATGCCCTTGCCATACTAGGCTTTGAAGATCATAATAGCCACTCAACGGTAACAACGACATCTAGTAGCTGCCTCGCTGACGCTGCTAAGAAAAAAAAAACATGACCCACTAAGAAAACAACAAAGAGGATTGGTCCCCGCTCCTCTGGGCGTCGGCGTGATCGCCGTAACGGGGACCGAGATGGCGGCATGGAAAAACCCTAGCGACTACAGTTGTTTGTAACACAAGACGGATGGAGCAATACCCGTGGCTAGATCTTGCTAACGGGTTCGGGGACATTATATTGGGTGCTTTACATTTTTGCTTTAGTTGGTTCCCATCAGTTTTGCGCTTCCTGCCTCTCCTCCAAACCCTCTATGCGCTCTCTGGTAGCGCGAATGCGCGCTTTTACCCCTAATTTTCGATTGTGCTCAGTTTTGTTCCAAAACTGTTAGGTGCTTTTATGAAAATACCCTTTCGTGTTGTTTTCATCTGGTCGGAGGCGTTTGACTATGATTGCGCCAAGTTGGGGATTGTGGTGTCCCTTCGTGTCGCTTCAATGACAAAACTATTGTAGTCTTGGTTTTGAAACCTTTCGGAGTAGAGTTGCTTCGAGATTTCGAGCAAGACAAGGCGCTGTTTCCTACTCTTACTCTATTGCGTTACATAAATAGCATGAGTTACTCCCTCTTGACAGGAATGTTCATCCGGCACAAAGGTCTTCAGTTTAACTAACAAAACATAATATTTCCTCCGTAAAAGTAAACACTCTTATATTTCTTTACGGAAGGAATATTTTATTAAAATATACTACGTTTTAAATTTTGTTCAGCGACAAGTGTAACGATATACTTTTTTACAACATAACACATATATTTCTCAAAAGAAGACGTTAAAATATGTGTCCAACTTATAAACCCGGATAGAGGAAGTACTGACTAATCACCAAGCGTTCGAAATTTATTGGTACACAAGCAATCAGCAGTCTTCTTGCTGTTGTGCCACCATGCGAAGGGCAGGTACGCGCGGAAGTTGCCGACGCACAGCGTGGCGAAGAAGTAGTCCAGGACTCCAGGTGACCATCGTTGATGTCGTCGGGATCCACCACAAGAGGGAGAAGCGCCGAGCTCGCGTATTTGAACAGCGCGATCGCCGCGCAGGAGATCCGCGCTCCGCAGGGCGTCCCGCGCCTGCTCGTAGAAGAACTCCATTTGCCCGATGAACGCGAACACCTCCACGGCGCCCACCACCACGTACACTGCGGCACTTGCCAGAAGTGAAAGTGTTCCGAAAGCGGCCGGGCGGCGAGCAGCAGTGATCGGCGTCTAGCATTTCCAGCACGAGGCGGCGATGACTGGCTTGCCCTTCCATCCAAGCACGAGGCATCCCTTCTCCTCGGCCACGGTGTATCCGCTGCCGCCGGCGTTCTCCTCCAGCCACTCCCGCGCCTTGGCCGCCATCTTGAAGGGCATGGCCTGGAAGCCCGCGCGGCTCATGCGGCGCCGCCACTGGTCCGCGCGCTCGTGGCGCTCCACGCGCGCCGCGCCCTCGCACCCGACCACGTTGCGGATCTCGGCGCCGAAGTGGAACTGCTCAACGCGCGCGCGCCGGGCGTCGTAGCGCGGGAGCGCCGCGTCGAGGGCGTCGAACAGCGCGGCGTAGTAGTGGAGCGCCTCCATGAACCGCCCCAGGAAGAAGGGCCCGTTGTGGCCGGCGTCCTGCTCCACGAGCACGAACGCCTTCGGCGAGAGCTTGCGGATGGTCTGCAGCACCGAGTTGAGCGCACCGCGGCTCTCCTTCACCACGCAGTGCAGCTCCAGGACGCTGTTGATGGCCACGGCCTCGTCGGCCTCGACGCCGAGGTCGTCCACGTGGAGGCTCTCCAGGGTGCGGTCGACGGCCATGAACTCGAGGGTCATCCCGAGCTCCTCCGCGTACGCCTCGAGCTCGCGCCCGACGGCTCTCATGATGTCCACGCGGGCGCCGACGCCGGTGACGCGAACGCGCGCCGGCTTGCCGCAGGCCCGTGTGGCAAGGCTGTCGAGCAGGGCGCGCCACTGGTGGCCGCGGTTCAGGCCCATCGTCATGCCGAGGTCCACCACGTGGACGTTGGTCTCTCCCTCGAAGGCTTCCAGGATGGACGTGTTCGCCACGAAGTGCGCGAAGCGCAGGTACGGGCACAGCTCGTACGCCACGGCGAGCGCCTCGCCGCGCGCCCCGTCGAGACACGACGACCGCGGGACGCAGAACGCCATGCTCGCCGGGCCCAGGGCCGGCGGGTGCGCCAGGGCTAGCCGGTCCGCCAGGCCCTGCACGAAGCACGACGCGACGCGCTGGAACGCCGTGCCGTGCACGGGCGCGCCGACCTGCAGCTCACGCAGCAGCGCCGCCGCCTGCGCGCGGTCGCGGCACGCCACGGCCTCGGCGCAGGCGACCAGCAGCTGCACGAGCCGCATGCCATCAGCTCCGCTGCCACCACCACCGGCCCGGACGTCGTCCACGGCGACCACCGCCTCACCTTGTTCCTCGAACCCGCCACTGCCGACCGGCGATGACGACCGTTCCATGGCCTCCATGGCTTCCACCTTCTGCTTGCAGGTCTCAAGAACGTCCCGGAACTGCTTCGTCTTCCTGACGCGCGACGACTCGAGGTCGGCCTGCGCCGGTGGCCAAGACGCCTGGTACGGCGAGCTGAGGTAGTCGACCCTGGTCGCCTTGTGAGCCCGGAGGCCGAGCTCCAGTTCGTCGGCGTCCACGGCCACCTCCTCAATGCCGAAGTAGTAAGGATGGTCGTAGTCCAGTTCTTGGTTAGTGCAAATCGAGGACGCATCTTGGTGTGATTGCCATGAGGAGGAGGTGGTGAAGGAGTTGGGCAACATCGGCATTTTCGCGTGTGGTGTCTGATGCACTGGGGTTAGTATAGTTAATTAGATCTTGTTGCAAGGCAAATGAGCTAATTAACTTGGTAGTGGGTTCAATCTCAACCACTATATATAGAGCTAGCTGGGTGGCATACGACGGCATTAGGGCTGGAATTCGAGCCGAGTCGAGCCAACTCGTTAACGAGCTAACTCGACTCGACTCGTTACTATAACGAGCTTGAATCCAAAATTGGCTCGACTCGTATAACTCGCGAGCTGGCTCGTTTAGCTTGCTAAGCTCGTTAATGATATGAACATAAAAGCTTGCAAATATGGTAAAAATGATTACTTGGGAATGTAAAATATACATATTAAACATGTACAATATTCACAAACAAATGTAAGCATGTACGAGTTTAACTTACAATTGTCAGTACCATCAAGTCAGTACCATGTACATGAACATTGACCAGAAATAATTGTACATGACCACAATGATCAACAAGTTAGTAACATATACATGACCAAACAATTGTAATTTCCTTTAACATCTAGGCGTTGTGTTGTGCGCATGGGACGAAGGGTGCTTGGGTGACCTTTTGTACCGAGTCTAACGAGTTACACGAGTACTCGTGAGATTGGCTCGTTTAACTCGTTTTATAAACGATCTTAAATTAAAGCTTGGCTCGACTTGTTATTATTCGAGTTCGAGTCGATTCGAGCCGAGTCACGATCCACTTGTTTAGCTCGCGAGCTTCGAATTTTTTTTCCAGCCCTAGACGGCATAATTATTAGTTGATTAACAAGGGATCTCGTCTGTTCCGCTAATAAACTAAAAATGTCTTTGTCATACAACTCAATCAGGTCTTGCCTAGTCTCTATTTACGTGTTCTTATTTCTGCGAGGTGTGTCCCTCTTCTTCAGAAAATGTGTTTCAGTACACATCATCGGCCATGAAAATCTTTGTTTCATTATTCATTGAGAGAAGCAAGAGTGCACTTGTTGCATTTTCCCTGATTTGTAAGCATATTAACTGCTTCGAGAATTAATGTTCAGAAACGTCAATGTGCACACGGGCGCCATACACACTTTCAATGGTAACATTGTCTCCCACTAAAAGAATGATCGTCCTTAACCAAACACTTAGGGCCTGTTCGGAGCCCCTTCGCTCCGCGAGGCCGCTCCCGGAGCTGACAGAGTTCTAGTTAAAAAGTGGAGAGCCAGCGAAACAGTACTCCCGAGATTCTCAATTTTCACGAAGCGGGCGGACTGCCGAACAACGCCTTAGCATTTGTTAAACCTATGGGTTGATTCGTAGTGGACTAGAGGTATGACCATCCTCATAATCATCTGATCACATGTTGTAGTATGTTTTTTTTTGTAATTCCTTCTAAGTTTAGTACTTCCACTTTTTAAATTTGTGATAGGAACGGCGAAAAAGAGAAAGTGCTATACTATTCAACTACGACGATACAGATCCTAGAGCCTAGTTAATTTTAAATAAAAACAGTGTTTAAAAGTCTCAAAATTATCTGAAAGAATTTACATGTACATAAAAATGTGATCTATGTACTTTAAAAGTTACATCTTAATTTTTTTCCTTGTTGGGCTAAACTAATTTCTCATTGTACCTTGTAAACCAAACATATTTTATAATAGGTGGTCACAGTAATGTATAACCTTCTCTACATATGGGAAAATGGAAAAGGAGGGAATTTCGCCTCATCAATTAATTAAGAAGAAGAGAATTGCCCAGTTAATTTACGGAAAACCGAATGGATGGACTACAAGCGGACTACATAATGTTGCTCGAGAACTAAAATGTCACTCTCTGTCCAAATACTCCTACTTTATATCAATATGTGTGTATTGAAGGTTTATGCGGTAGTACAAATTAAAATGCACAAACATGTTATTGAAAGTGAATGTTCAAACCTTTACATTTACACTTGGAAAAACAAAGGAGGGAGGTTCATATTAAATTATTGCGAAAGAATTAGCAACGAATCCTTCCATTGGAAAAGCATGGAAATGTTGTAAGGGGATGCTTTCTCATTGTGTATATCGATGCTTAGTCTGTGTTGTTCAATTTGATGTGCTAAACTCACTGTTTGAAGAGTTGGTTCCCCCCTAACTTCCACCTGATATTTATGCCATTGGATTTAGATCCAAGGGTGCACCTATCTTCTTCCTCTAACTCTTCTTGTTCCTAGTGAACCGCCGCCGCCGTGATCCAACCTAGACTCTAGCGGAGTGGCAATGCCACCAACTTCACATCATCATTGTCTTTAGCTTCTCACATCAGGTTGTGCTCCACACGGGCTAATCAGGATCGCAATCTAAGCCGCAAGGGTGTGAGGTGCGCATATAGCTACGGATGGAAAAAAGAGTCTCTTGATGGATAAGTACGTAGTATGTTAAAAAAAAATCAATAACCTGCTTTGGGCAAACCAAAGTTCAATGTTACAAGAATTACAATGTAGTGCCGGTGCGGGTGAAGAGGTTGTAACACCAAGACATAGTGTGTTGCAAGTTATTGGTTCCAAAGCATGAAGTCAAGTACAATGGTGAGAATTGTGACTCGGGTGGAAAACTTTACCATTGGGTGAGTCCCAAAAGAGGATGTACAGGAGGAGCGGTAACGTCCTAAACCTGCCGAACAGAGGTCGGTGCAGGTAACCCTAACTACCCCGTACTTGCTCAGACCGCGGAGAGGTGGTGAAGAGGTGGATTGTGTTCAAACTTTACAAATGCTTTTCCAATTCAATGAAAGTTGTTTAAATGTTTGAACTTACAAATCTAGCTCTCACCTCAAACTTTTGGCCGCCACACAACTTTTATCCTAGGTCCGTGCCAACTGTATGCTTACCCCTGTTTGTTTCAGCTCCAAGGACCAAAATCAACGTTGAAAAAGCTGAATATGAAACAAATAACTATTTCGAACCAGCTTTTCCAGTGAAGCTAATTCAAGCCATTTTCAGTGTATTTCCTTGAAGCATGTCCCGGTGTACTTCAGTGGCAAAGATGATTCTGCGGATCAGGTTTGCCAGTGAAGCGAGTCCACAGCTAATTCGACAACAGAAATTGAAACTGAAACAAGCAAGGCTTATAAAGGTGTGCCCACAGTTTCCTTTTTCTTTCAAGAGAGTTGCATGTGCTATATATTTTTCTCTTAGTTTAGCACACGGATTTACACTGCCTTTAGCGAGCCCTGCACCAAAAAGCGCAAGTGGGCGACGGTAAGCTACAAAAACCGACTAATATCCCAGGAAAGGTGCCCGGGATATTAGTCGGTTTTTGCTTGGCTGGAGAGATAAGCTGGCAGAGCATATAGCCTAGCGGCATAGATTATAGAAACCTAAACCTATCGGGTTAATTAGCGCCGGATGCGACAGCTGAATTAGTCGCATCGTTACGAGCAAAGTTCGAATCCATCTTTAACTATCACTTTTTCTTCTTCCCGAAGCGTCTCTGATCAGCTCGTGCGTGCGCACCGCGGCCGTATGCGTACGTACACCGTGCGAGGCGACTGTTTCGTCGCGCGCTAGCTGCTGGTTCAATTGATCGGGGTGCGTCACTGACAGGGCTAGCTGCCTATAGCTCGGAGAAGATTAAACAAGTAAATTAGGCAAGGACATTTCATATTTGGAGCCTTTCAACAAAACGTCACAAGGGACGCCATGTTGGCTCGTCTGCACCGGCACAGCACGATCAGGCGGCGAGGAAACCCCCGTGTTCGATCGTCGACAGTTAATGCTTTACTTCTCTCCCTCCATCGTGGACAAGAGCAAAGCATCCTGTCGATGTAAACGAGAGCTGCTAATATGCCGTACGACGTACGTACGTATACAAAATGCATGCATGCATGCATGCCAAGCGATCATGCCTGGGAAGGAAATGCATGTGTGGCGTACGTATATGTTGAAGTGGCCGGACACGTACTACTACGAGTACTTTAATAATTATTTACTCCTACGTACAACGATGGTACTCCTACACGGTTTTACGTAGAGTAGTGTGAAGTACAGGTGCTATAGAAGGGCTTTGCTATATATATCTACGTAATAGTCCAACATAATCTTACGTGAAAGCTAGTTTGGCATGATACGATTGGATGAAAATATGGCCCAGGCTCCACCCGCGAAATGGGGGTAGGGTGGGGGGCGGCGAGAGAGAAGTAGATTAAGAAGGTTACGTAAGGTTAAGTAGATTTTTTTTTGCCAAAGACTTTTCCCCTAGGGTTACCTAGGGTCTACCTTGTCCTCCGGCGGCGCCGTCGGAGTCCACGTACTTTCACCACCGATCTGCCGAGTTCTCGCGGGCTGGGTCTCCACAACCGGGGCGTTCGAGTTCGGAGGCTGCATGGGCGATTCAGGAGGAGAGTTTCCTGTGGGAGGGATGAAGGAAGCGGGGAAGGAGATACGATCTGATGAGGAGGTCGCTGGTAGAGGGAGATCGGGGCGTGACCAATCCACAGATGCAATCGGTGGGGAGGCTGGGGGACTGCAGGGGAGCCAGGCGGATGAGGATCTGAAGGAGGATGACGGGGTGGGCTGGGATTACTTCGCCCCTGAGCCAACCCTAGAAGACGCGTTTGAAGGCATGAATCTGCATGGAGAGGAAGAAGAAGATTTAGACCTATCGGGGGAGGTTGATGATCTGATCAGGGAGGTTCGGTGGTTGGCCTTGTTTAGGGTTCATACCTTGAGACCCTTTAGTCATGATGCTCTGCTAAACTCTATGCGGAATGCTTGGGCATGTGCACAAGGGGTGACTTTCAATATTAAGGGCCCGAATCTATTTTTGGCTCAATGTCATTGTCTTGGTGATTGGAAAAGGGTGATGGAGGGAGGGCCATGGCAGTTTCGAAGAGATCCAGTTGTTCTTGTGGAGTACGATGGTTTTACAAATGTTGCTGAGTATGCACTGGATATGTATCCATTATGGGCTCGTATCAAAGGATTACTAGATGGTCTCACACGGAAGAAGGAGCTGGCGGAGAAGGTAGCAAAGAAAGTTGGAAA